GTTTAAATTTGTGATTGGATTGTGCATATCAGTTCTGAAAAGCTTACCTACTATAAGATTGTTTAGGAAGTAAGGATATTAGAATTGGTAAAATTAAAATTAGATTATATTAAATAGGATGCAAAGAATTCAATCGTTTCCAATTATTTATTAAAAGAAATGTGACATAGTTTTAAGTCAGTAAAAAATATAGCCGTTGATATAAAAGAAATATAGAACAACACTAGTCTATATTTGTTTATAACAATAGGATGAAACAAGAACATGGAGATACACGATATAAGTTAGGAGAAAATGATTCAGTTTATTTTTTATATTATGCATTAACGAGGGATACACAAAGTAGTGAGGGATCATTTTCTTCAGTTTTGTTGACCCTCCACCACCTAGGCGAGAGTCGACTCCAATCTTAAGGCACCACACAAAGGCTTAATTACTTAATCTTGAAAAAACATTCACCAATTCATGGATTTCTGACCTTGCTAGCACCAACATGGTGCAGTGGCACAATGACTAAATTAGAACCTAATGACTTGAGCTTGAGCCTCTAAAAGAAATGGACTTCTCGAATTATTTATTTGTTCTCCAAGTACTATTGATTTCTGTCGATCACTAGTTGATTAGCAAAAGGTTGCAATGCTGGGAAGAAAAAGGGTCCCCTAAATCAGTCATGCCTTTTACAGTAGCAGCATCTCCCATATGCATCAGCCTTTGATCGTTTGGAAAATGATTCCACAATGACAAGGCATGTAGTAAGACCTGGCCATGTGAACTTCATAAACTTTGTTTTCAGTTGCATCCTGAAGGCCATTCCTTTTTTTAAGCAACTAACTAAAATTATGGTTCTTGCTGTATGGTAACTATAGCTAGTAACCATTTGGAACGTAAATATCTCATCCACCAACTTAGATACTTAATAATTTAACGATCTTACTCTAATTGGTTATCATTGTAAACGAATGGCATCCACAAACATAACCTGGTAAGAAGTGTATCTCTCAATTTAGGGAAGAAAAGAACTTGCATTCTGGTTCCCTGTATCATCCCTATCAGAAATAGTTATATTGAAGATTTCCCTACATAAATCACATGATCAATCTATTTTGTGCTTAAAATCAGCCTGTCACACTTAAACTCAGCCATAAATAAGTTCAAAATGATCATCACCAACCAGCATCATGCTTGCATTATATATATCAGAATAGCGTTCTCACAGACTGAAGATATAGTTGACTGTTTTTTGTCTTCACTTGTTACTAGCTAGTTTCTCCAGTGTTAATCTAAGGCTAGCATGGCAGAAACATGTAGCATTTATAGTGACTTATCCTTATAGCTAAGCAAATATCAAGAATACTTTAGAAACAAAAAATAATTATGAAAGTTATGTTCTTTTTCTAAATTTTTCGATGAATGGTGGACTATGTCTAGTCGCAATAAAATAGTCACAATATAAGGATGTAGTGATATCTGTCAAATGGGTCACTAGTGTTATTTTTATTTGACAGCAAGCCATGATGAATTGCAATGAATCAATTACAAGTTTAGGATAAAGCTATTGAAATCCAATCACAATTTTGTAGGCAAAACCATGTGATTTCTCATAAAGTATGTCTAGTAGCATGGCCCATATTATTTTCGCTCTTTGCACTCAATCCATTTCTAAGAGATTGTCTACATAGCATTATGTCTGTGTATATATACACTAAATTGTAAGGAGTCCCACATCTAAACCATAATCTTCCTTTCACATTTCTCAGTTTTATAAGCACAACATTGCTCCCCTCCCCTCTCTCTAGTACTACTCAAAAAGATTCATCAAATTCTGATCATGGCTATTCGTTTCCCAAGATTTGCTAACACTAAACAAGCTCAAAGGCGTGTTGTTTCATCAGCAGAGAACAAAATTGTGCCTAAAGGCTACTTTGCTGTTTATGTTGGAGCAACTCAGAAGAAGAGATTTGTAGTACCCGTTTCATACCTGAAATATCCTTCATTCAAGTATTTGCTGAGTCAGGCTGAAGAAGAGTTCGGCTTTCATCATCCTATGGGCGGTCTAACAATTCCATGCAGCGAAGAAGTTTTCCTTGATCTCACATGCAGCTTATGAACCTCTTAAGAGATTATTTGAAAAACTAACACAAGGATCTTAGTTACACCTTCAGGAAACTGACAGCAAGTCACAATTTTTTAGCCGAGATATTAGTACTATGTAACCTATATTTTTGTAAACATAGTATGACCAAATATCAAATCCATTTGACTTGAAAAATACATGTTCTCTCTCTCCTTATTCTGTAAAGATCATTAAGATCAAGTTGCTTATTCTAATGGCAGATAGAAGTTTTCGTGAAGCAAGATGGGTAATGTTTATTAACTCGTGAATACAGATTCTCATTAATCTATCAGTATGCTAGTAATGTCACTAATGCAATTCCACTAGCTCAAATCTTCCATCACAAAATATGATCACTTGCAGTTTATCCTGTCATTTTTACTTTGAAAGTTGCAAGTACGGACTACAGGCCACTCTGATTCATTTATTTGGATAGTTTACATAGCCAATGATCTCGATGTCTGATCCTGGTATATCTCAGACCAAATGCCTCGAAATGTTCAAATATCTATCAGATTGAGATTTGTTTTACTGTAACTATAACATCCCATAAAAATTTTCCTAAAGTAAATAGTTGAACTATTTTCCTAAAATTTTCTTAAGATAGTAAGAAACAACACAATTTATTATTCATATCAAATCTTAACAGTATAACGCACTTGCTTTTTAAGTGATTATATTGGCCTTCAATGTCTTAATTGACATGAAATGAATCCACTTTGACAGGGTTTTATGACTATGCGAAAGGAAAAGAGGTCCTCTACTTTTTTCTTTCCTGATCTGTCCTTAGCTGTTTCCCATTAAAGTTTAGTGAATCATATTTTTCTGCAATTAAACTCTTTAAAGTCAATCAGGAAAGCACTATACCACGTGATACCTCCTTAGCCAATTCATCGTAGCAGATCATGCACTAATTGCAATTTTCGAAGATCCTTAGTACTATGAAAGATGGGTCTGCTATACCTTAGATATCAATGATATGCTTAGCAATACCATAAGGTAACAGTACCTAGTTCAATTATATGTACTAGATTTGACCCTTGCAGTGGCTTGTTGTTGATTGATTGCGGTTTATCCAAACATGAGAAATCATTGAAGCACAGATGGCATAGCAGCATTATTTCTGAGTTCTTTGGGCACAAATAATCACTTTGCAGAAGAGAAACATGTGGTGTCTTAAGCATATTTTTAATGAAACGTAACACTAATAGATGCTTAGCTTGAAAATACAAGAGGGTGATCGTCTTTTGTTGCTTTGATTTAATTTCAAGTGGGTCAGATGTCGTTTGTTAATTTTCTTGGCAAGATAGGGCATACATGTTAAACATCATAGCCTGATCAATCATTCGAGTTATCACTTGAATTTTTTATGCATGATGAGTTGGAAAACAAGATCATGTCTATTCAGTAGGTCAAATTAAGTAGTGAAACACTGCTCAAGTACCGTACAATCTGCAAATGAGCGCATGACTAAACTCAGTAGAAGTAGAGGTTTTCTCAATCTCCTGTTTCAATCTCAAGTAGCCACAGATTTCTCTGTTTCAGTTTCAAGTGTGTGCAAGTTTCTGTTTTAATCTCAGGTGCCTGCAAGTTCCCTTGTTTCACTAAAAATGCCTGGAAATTCCCCTGTTTCAATATAAAATGCCTGCAAATTCCCCTGTTTCAGTCTCAAATACCTGCAAATTCTCCTGTTTCAGGCTCTACAGCTTGCAAACTCCTCTGTTTTTTTCTTCAACTACAAGGGTTTGTGGCTGCCAGGCATTTTACATGCAATGAAATCCCGCAACAACCTCCAGTTCCTGCAAAACAAAAAGCTCCTGTGGCTAGACATGTTCCAAATGGCTACTTTGCAATTTATTATGGAGAAACTGAAAGGACTCTGTTCATGATTCCAGTTTCATATTTGAATCACTTTTTGTTTTAGATGTTCCTTAATAAATTTGAAAAAAAAATAAAATTGATCATCTCATGGGATGCCTAAAAAATTTTTTGTAGAGAAAACATCTTTATTTATTTAGTTTTTAGTTTCAGCGGGTCATTAATTTCATAACACATAATTCAGGGACGAATAGTATTTTATAGATTTAATTATTATAAATTTATAATATATATTTACTTTTCTCTCACATTTTTATCCTATATTTTAGATCCATATGCAAATAGAAAACGTATTTACATTTAGTAATAATGCCAAAATTTGAAAAATTTATAGATGTGATATTTTTATTTTTATCGAAAAGTTATATAATTAATTAGTTCCAAAATTATGGTTTGAGTCTCTAAAAAAATTTAGAAAAAAGTTTTAAATGGTTTATTTTAAACGAATTTTAAGTAGTTTAAGTCTAAAAATTAAATTATCTTTAAACCTAAAACGACTATGAATTATTACTATATTTAATGATGCAGAATTTAGTTTTAATTTATAATTATAATATGAAATTTTGATCGTTATTATAAAATACCTATTTATTAATTACTGTTTTGAAATTTTAAGTTATAATTTCTTTGATCATTGCGTAGATTTTTAAGATTATATGGGCCGATGAAAAAAGTTATTCGTTAATCATTGTGTAATTTATTTTGTATACTAATTACATGAAAGCATAAGTATAAAAAGATTTATTAGTTTTGTAAAATTGTAGTTTAACTATCGTATTTTAAATAATTATAATTTTATTTATAAGAATAATAAAATATATTATAATAATAATTAAACGATAAAATTTTAATTCGACTTATTAAAAAAAAGAAAAGGATTTGATTATTTGAATAGAGAAATTTAAACTAGAAACTATAATTTAAATATTTATTTCAAACAGTTCTCTCATAAACAAAAAATTTAAACACAGCGGGAAACCAGCTATAAGCTCTCTCTGGAAGATGGAGCTTAAGAATCAGGATCTACATTCTCAAAAGCCCAAGCGTTCTGCCTCCAAACCTCAGCCTCCTCCTCTTCCGTATAATCATTTTCGATCCCGAAGAACGTCCTCACAAACTCCACGCTCTTGTCCTTGAGTCCATCGGCCACGCTCTGACAAAGCAAATCGAGCAGGTCCTTGATGTCGAGATAGTTTGCAGCCAACACCATATCCTTCAAGTTCTCCAGGCTCAGCTGCTCCACAAACGCACGGTTGTATTCTTCGATCTCCCTCTCTCCGTCAGTCTTCGATCGGAGCGGGAGGATGCCGCTGACATAGGAGACAATCCGCTCCAACATTTCGGCGGAGACGTTGGGGACAGGTATCGTGAACTTCTTAGTCGATGACGCATCGGAATTATCCTCGAAAAAGGATTTGACGGTGGCGAACTCCATGGCGACCTTCTCCTCCACTTCGACGTACTTGCCGTCTCCGGTTATCAAGGTGATTGTCTTCTCGTTCCCGCTACCTGACGCCATTTTCGTTTCGGTAGGTTTTGTTTGATTATAATTGATATGATGTTCTAGGTTTTCTGCGTATTTCCAATGCTTCTTAAACACATATATAAAGAAAAAAAATTCAGAGATAAAAGAGGAATTTACGGACACAATCTGTAATGGGATTTGGGTGTAAATTCGTGATCGGATTGTTTATATCAGTTCTGGGAAAGCTTACCTACTATATGATTGTTTAGGAAGTAAGCATATTAGAATTGGTAAAATTGAAATTAGGTATCCAAATCTTACAAGTATATTAAAAAAGAATCCAAAGCATTCAATTGTTCCTGATTATTTGTTAAAACATGTGGTTTAGTTTGAGTCAATAAGAAGTATAGTTGCCGATATGAAAAAATATATAGGATAACACTAGTCTATATTTGGTTATAACACTACGATGAAACAAGAACATGGATATACACCAAATAAGTTAGGAGAAAATGATTCAGTTTATTATTTATATTATACGTTAACAAGGGGTATACAAAGTAGTGAGAGATCATTTTCTTCAGTTTCGTTGACCCTCCACCACCTAGGCGAGATTTGACTCCAATCCTAAGGCACCACACAGAGGCTTAGTTACTTAATCTTGAAAACCATCCACCAATTCATGGACTTCTGACCTTGCCAGCACCAACATGGTGCAGTGGCACAATGACCAAATTAGAACCTAATGACTTGAGCTTGAGCATCTAAAAGAAATGGATTTCTCGAATTATTTGTTTTGTACTCCAAGTACTATTGATTTCTGTATATCACTAGTTGATTGGCAAAACTTGCAATACTGAGAAAAAAAAAAGGGTCCCCTCAATCAATCATGCCTTTTACAATAGCAGCATCTCCCACACACAGCAGCCTATGATCGTCTGGAACATGATTCAACATTGACAGGGCATGTGGTAGGACACGTCAGGTGAACTTCATAGACTTTGTTTTCAGTTGCATCCTGAAGGCCATTCTTTTTTTAGCAAGTTAGTAGAATTATGATTCTTGCTGTATGGTAACTATAGCTAGTAGCCATTTGGAATGTAAATATCTCATCCGCCAACTTAGGTATTTAGTAATTTGACGATCTTACTCTAATCGGTTATCGCTATAAACAAATAGCATCCCCAAGCATAACCTAGTAATAAGTGTATCTCTCAATTTAGAGACAAGAAGTTGCATTCTGGTCCCCTACATCATCCCTATTTTATGCTTAAAATTAACCCATCACACTTAAACTCAGCCATAAATAAGTTCAAAATGATCGTCACCAACCAGCATCATGCTTGCATTATATATATCAGAACAGAGTTCTCACAGGCTGAAGAAATAGTTGACTGTATTTTGTCTTTAGTTGTTACTAGCTAGTTTCTCCAGTGTTAATCAAAGGCTAGCATGACAAAAACATGTAGCATTTGGTAGAGACTTATCCTTATAGATAAGCAAATATCAGAATACTCTACAAACAAAAATAGTTATGAAAGTTTTCTTTTTTAAAAGACTTCGAATGGCGGGCTATGTCTAGTTGCAATCAACAAATCACAATGCAAGGTATGGTGATATCTGTCAAACGGGTTGCTAGTGTTATTTTTATTTGACAGCAAGCCATGATGAATTGCAATGAATCAATTACAAGTTTAGAATAAAGCTATTGAAATTCAGTCACAATTTGGTGGGCAAAACCATGTGATTCTCATAAAGTATGTCTGGTAACATGTCCCATGTTATAGTTGCTCTTTGCCACTCAATCCATATCTAAGAGATTGCCTGCATATCAATGTCTCCATGTATATGTACACTCAATTTTAAGGAGTCCCACATCTAAACCATAATCTTCCTTCACATTTCTCAGTTTTATACGCACAACATTGCTAAGCTCTCTTTCCTCTAGTACTTGAAAAGAATTCATCAAATTCTTATCATGGCTATTTGTTTCCCAAGATTTGCTAATGCTAAACAGGCTCAAAGGCATGTTCTTTTATCAGCAGAGAACAGAATTGTGCCTAAAGGCCACTTTGCTGTTTATGTTGGAAAAACTCAGAAGAAGAGATATGTAGTGCCTGTTTCATACCTGAAATATCCTTCATTCCAGTATTTGCTGAGTCAGGCTGAAGAAGAGTTCGGCTTTGATCATCCTACGGGCGGTCTAACAATTCCATGCTGCGAAGAAGTTTTCCTTGATCTCACATGCAGCTTATGAAACTGAATTAAGCTGCCCGAAGGAAGCATAATTATAACGTGTACCATGAATCGACTGTTTCCGACACTTATGGCAATTAGTTCCATTAGGTGGCAGAGAATTTGAGAAGATTCTCGCATGATGAGGTCATTTCTAAATAAGATGATCCTCATTGTGGCTGAAGGTCTAACCAAGGAATTCTGTATTTCAGCCTACCTTTTTACCAAATAAGAGATTATCTGAAAAGCTAACACAAGGGCCTTAGTTAGGTCTCCGGGAAATTGACAGATTAAGTCACAATTTTTGAGCCAAGAAGAATACGTAATTGCGGATCGTCTGCTGCACTCCAATTACCCTGTAACCTATATTTTTGTAAACATAGTATGATCAAATATCAAATCCATTTGACTCAAAAATTACATGCTTTCTCTCTCCTTTTTCTGTAAGAGATCATCATGATCAAGTTGCATACTCTAATGGCAGATAGAAGATTTCATAAAGCAAGATGGTTGATGTATTGTTAACTTATTGGTACAGATTCTCATTAATCTATCAGTATACTAGTACTGTCACTAATGCAATTCCACTATCTCAAATCTTCCATCACAAAATATGATCATCTAGCAGTTTATCCTGTTGTTTTACTTTGAAAGTTGCAAGTACGGACTACAGTCCACTCTGATTCATTTATTTGGATAGTTTAGGTAGCCAATGATCTTGTATCTGTCCCAGGTAGTATCTCAGACCAAATGCCTCTAAATGTTCAAATATCTATCAGATTGGAGAATTATTTTACTGTACCTATAACATCCCATATGCTTATTTTCCCAAAATTTTCCTAAAGTAACATAGTTGAACTAATTTTCCTAAAATTTTCTTAAGATAGCAAGAAACAACAAAATTTATTATTCATATCGAATCTTAACAGTATAAAGCACTTGGTTTTTAAGGGATTATGTTGGTCTTCAATGTCTTAATTGACATGAAGTGAATCCACTTTGACAGTGTTTTATGACTATGTGAAAAGAAAAGGGGTCCTCTACTTTTTTCTTTCCTGATCTGTCCTTAGCTGTTTCCCATTAAAGTTTAGTGCATCATGTTTTCTGCAATTAAGTCAATCAGGAAAGCACTACCATGTGATAATTCATTAGCCAGTATTCATTTCTAGCCCCATCAAAGCCAATTCATCGCAGCAGATCATGCACTAATTTTAACTTTCTAAGATCCTTAGTACTATGAAAGATGGGTCTGATATACCTTAGATATCAATGATATGCTTAGCAGTGCCAAAGGTAACAGTACCTAGTTCAATTATATGTACTAGATTTGACCCTTGCTGGCTTGTCGTTGATTGGTTGCAGTTTATTCAAACATGAGAAGTCATCAAAGCACGGATGGCATAGCAGTATTATTTTTGAGTTTTCTAGGCAAGAATAATCGCTTTGCAGAAGAGAGACGTGTGTTGTCTTAAGGATGTTCTTAATAAAACAGAACACTAAGAGATGCTTGGCTTGAAATTACAAAAGGATGATCACCTCTTGTTGCTTTGATTTAATCTGAAGTGGGTAAGATGCTGCTTGTTAATTTCGTAGATGAGATTAGCCATAAATGTTAAACATCATAGCGTGGTCAATCGCTCAATTTATCATTTGAATTTTTTATGTATGATGAGCTGGAAAACAAGACCATGTTTATTCAGTAGATCAAATTTAAGTAGTGAAAAATAGCTAAAGTATCGTACAATCCGCATATGAGAACATGACTAAGCTCGGTAGAAGTAGAGATCTTCACAATCTCCTGTTTCAATCTCAAGTAGCTGCAAATTTTCCTGTTTAAGTTTCAAGTTCCTGCAGATTTCCCTGTTTTAGTCTCAAGTGCCTGCAAGTTCCCCCGTTTCAACCTAAACAGCCTGCAAACTCCCCTGTTTTTTTTTTCTTCAACTACATGGATTTGTGGCTGCCGGGCATTTTACATGCAAAGAAAATCCCGCAGCAACCTCCATTTCCTGCAAAACAAAAAGCTTCCTTGGCTAGCTTCAAAGGCTACTTTGGGGTTTATTGTGTAGAAAATGAAAGGATTCTGTTCGTGATTTCAGTTTCATACTTGAACCACTTTTTATTTTAGATGTTGCTTAATAAATCTGAAAAAAAAAAAAGAATTGGTTGTCTCATGGGATGCCAAACAAATTTTTTACGGAAAAAACATTTTTAGTTATTTAATTTTTAGTTTCAATAGAACCCAACAATGAAGCGATGAATAGTATTTTATAGATTTAATCATTATAAATTTATAATGCTACCTACTTTTTTTTTATATTTTTTTCATGTATTTTAAATTTTTTTGCAAATAGAAATCGTATCTTCATTTGCCAATAATATCAAGGTTTGAAAAATTTTATAGATGCAATATTAAAAAATTAGATAATTAATGAATTCCAAAATATGAGGCTGAGTTTTTTAAAAACTTTAGAAAATAAGTTTTAAATATTTTATTTTAAATAAATTTTAAGTTTAAAAATTAAATTATCTTTTTAAGTATAAAATAAACTTTAAATTATTACCACGTAGAACTTAATTATAAGTTATAAATATAATATAAAATTTTGGTCGTTATTATAAAATACATACTTATGCTTTAAAATTTTAAGCTATAATTGTTTTAATTTTTGGGAAGATTTCTAAAATTACATAAGTTAGATTGAAAATTTTTTGAATTTTAAACATAACTACAACGAGATCTATTAATTTTATAAAATTATAATTCAACTCATATTTTAAAATAATCACAATCCTAGTTATAGTTATGAGATTAATAAAAAAATAAAATATATCACAAAAATAATTTAGACAAGAAAAATATTGACTCAACAATTATTTATTTTTTAATATTAAAATTTTATTTCAACATTATTAGAAGAATAAAAGGACAGATTATTTGAATAGAGAAATTTAAACTAGAAATTATAATTTAAATATTTATTTAAACAGTTCTCTCATAAACAAAAAATTTAAACTGAGCGGGAAACCAGCTGTAAGCTTTCTCTGGAAGATGGAGCTTAAGGATCAGGATCTACATCCTCAAAAGCCCAAGCGTTCTGCCTCCGAAGCTCAGCCTCCTCCTCTTCCGTATAATCATTTTCGATCCCGAAGAACTTCCTCACAAACTCCACGCTCTTATTCTTGATTCCATCGGCCACGCCCTGACAAAGCAAATCGATTAGGTCCCTGATGTCGAGATAGTTTGCAGCCAACATCATATCCTTCAAGTTCTCCAGGCTCAGCTGCTCCACAAAAGCACGGTTGTATGCTTCGATCTCCTTCTCTCCGCCAGTCTTCGATCGGAGCGGGAGGATGCCGTTGACATAGGAGACAATCTGCTCCAACATTTCGGCGGAGACGTTAGGGACAGGTATCATGAACTTCTTAGTCGATGACGCAAAGGAATTATCCTCGAAAAAGGATTTGACGATGGCGAACTCCATGGCGACCTTCTCCTCCACTTCGACGTACTTGCCGTCTCCGGTTATCAAGGTGATAGTCTTCTTGTTCCCGCTACCTGACGCCATTTTTTGTTTCGGTAGATTCCGTTTGTTTATAATTGATATAATGTTCTAGGTTTTCTGCGTATTTCAAATCCTTCTTAAACACATATATAAAGAAAAAAAGAATCAGAGATAAAAAAGGAATTAACGGACACAATCTGTAATGGGATTTGGGTGTAAATTCGTGATCCGATTGTTTATATCATTTCTGGGAAAGCTTACCTACTATATGATTGTTTGGGAAGTAAGCATATTAGAATTGGTAAAATTGAAATTATATATCCAAATCTTACAAGTATATTAAAAAAGAATCCAAAGCATTCAATTGTTTCTGATTATTTGTTAAAACATGTGGTTTAGTTTAAGTCAATAAAAGAAGAAGTATAAAAATATGATCATCATATAAAATTATCTTATACAATGCTATTAAGAATATAATAGTGCAAAATTTATGTTCATTAAATTTTATATGGATAATATGAAATAACAATCCATTATATTTAGTTATAAGATTAAATTGAACTAAGAACATAAATATATCAAACAAAATAGATGTTTTTAATATATATATATATATATATTAGCCAAAACATTTTTTATAAAACATAAGCTAACATATCCTTTGGGGAGAAAAACCTCAAGACAATGTGGTAGAACTATTTAATTTTCATATACTATTATTTGCACTTGAAACCATATGTTTAATTTTATTTAATATATTTATAAATTAAATATTTAAAAGTAATTTATTTGAAAATAATATCCAGCTATATTATTATGAATTATCAAAGTAAATTCTATTATAGTTTTTTCTGTAAAATAATATTTTAATTATTATTTACTATTTTATATTTATGAATATAAAATTTAATTTGCTATTCAGTATATATATAATATATTTTTAGATTTCTATTAAAAATATAAAATCTAAAATTTAAAAATCCTAATTTTAATTTCCGTTTTCATTCCTTCAAAACTCAAAGCTCCTCCTTCACAGCCGCTGCTTCCGTTGCCATTTTATTCAGCATTTGTCTCCGTCCCCTCCATCACCTTCCACTTCCGAACAACCGCTCCTATCAACTCCATCGTCAACAGCCGCCAGCATCATCGATTCTAGGAGTGCAGTGGTCTATTTTGCTGCATTTGTTTCTCTGTTTCTTTGTTTGCCTAATGGAGTTTCCTCGGGAAAAGGAGAAATAGGATTTCCTCATACTTGTTATGTTCTTTTTTTTTCTTTATATATATGGAGATATATATATATATATATATATATATATATATAAGGGAGAAATAGGATTGTCTAATATTTGTTAAAGACAAAGAAGACCGTATGTTCTCTACGCTCTCTCTCTCTGTTGGATTTCAAGTTTATGGCTTTCTTTCTCTTTTCTGTTTATTAAGTTTATGGATTTTTTGGATTTTGTTTGTTTAATCAATTCATGTAATTAAAATGATTTTATTTAGTTGTTTAATCGGTCTGTAATCTGCATTTATTTTTAAGTACATTTGAATATATATGTATGTATTATATATAACAATAATGAAACTTTAAGAAAGAAAACATGGAAAGAGGGAGAGAAGAAAAATGTGACATGAGAGCGGGTTCAAACATGAAAGGATTTAATCCAAAACCCGATCGGGCCGAAATGGATAATACTTTATAAACCCGCCCCGACCCGATATGGGTTTGGGTTTCTCAATTTTATGCCTGGCTTGTATTTATGATTTGTAATATATCAAGGAGGTGATTTATGATTTTGATGATAACATCAAGAACCTGAGTGACAGAGATTATAATACTCTAACTTTAACTTGAGCTTTTTTCTAGAACCAATTATATGAAGCATATATTTTCACGAGTCAACTAGATCTTAAACGTTTCAATTTTATCTGCACTAATATCCAGCTGCCATTTTTTGTAATCATTCATCCTTTATCCATTGGCTTATACCTAATGTTGTGGGACCTTATGTTTTCCAGCAGAAAGCCTAAACATGATTTGTCAATTCCTTTATGTGGTTGATTATTTAGAAAACAAGACCATGTGATTGGATAATGCCCATATGGATTATGTCCTTGGAGGACCTAGAAAATGGTTCAAGTAACCTGAAGATTTAATACGTAGCACCATCTATATATGCTGATCACTTACATTTGGATCACATACAACCCAGATCTTCACAATCTTTAGTTTCCCTAAAGTTACAAAATATCCGAGTCCTCATTCTTGATCCTTTTTTTTGTGTATTACACTCAACAAAACATAAACAAAATGGGTGTTCGTTTCCTGGGTGTCATCCTCACGAAGCAAATTCTACATAAGTATGTCTTGGCTGCAAAAAAAGCAGCCTCAACATCTCCAGATGTTCCAAAAGGTTTCCTTGCAGTATATGTTGGGGAAACTCAGAAGAAGAGATTCGTGGTTCCTGTATCATATTTGAACAAACCTTCATTTCAAGCTTTGCTAAATAAAGCTGAAGAGGAGTTTGGTTTTGATCATCCAATGGGTGGTCTCACAATTCCCTGCAGAGAAGATATTTTCATCCATACCACTTCTGGACTGAGCACATCGTAGGATAAGACTCCTTAATGATATGATCAAAAAACACAGAAGACAACCTTCTGCTTGAGAATGCCAAATGAGAAACTATTAGCTCTTGTCCCATACTCAGAGGCTGAACCATCCAACTTCAAGGATCAATCTGGTTGGTGAAAAACATTTCAGCTTTACTTTCTCGATGTTGACAAATTCCATAAAGAAGTAAAGCATTTATGGATCTCTGTTGTATAATGAGTTTAGAGTCTGTCAACAAAGATACAACGAGCTGGAAGCGGAGAACACATGAGCTCTTCGGCAAGACTGATCCAAAACCTTCCTGATCAATGATTATGTGAAGTCAAAGAATTTGATCTCCATTGCTTGTAATTTTGTTTATTTTTCTCTAAAGCAAAAAAAAATCAAATTTCTCCAATAAGGTATTCCAAAAGGCTCTTTGTCGGTCTCATATTTTTCCCTCTATTTACACATGCATCTGACACCATCAACTTGCAGATTAAGATATGTAGATCTTGTTTTAGTTGATAGAAAAAGCAGTCATGGCAGTTAACGCCACCTAAAAATTTATCTTCATGTTTGTACGTCTGTAGAAGAGTGTTTTACCAATCAATAGTAATATATCGTGCCTTTTAGCTTCTGACCTTTCAGTAACATGCTATTAAACCAAACAATTTCACAACAGATCTCAGAAACTATAAAACTCACTTTGGTTCTTTTGCTATAGGTGCATCAAATAGTAGGTAAATTTTGGATCTGTTAAAACGGTCTAGTCCCCTGTAGGCACAGGCAGAGGTCCAATAACTTTGTTAACCACATATACCAGAATTGTTTTTAATGTGCACGGTATTTTAAAGCAACTGTGGGTTTAAGATTTACTAGCTACATTTCAATTTGAGGTGGCTGTTGTTGATTGTCCTTCGATTTGTTGTCTCTACTTGATTATAGATTTTGGAAATTTCCTTGTCTAGGAAGGGATCAGTCATGATTGATCAGCATAATAGTAGATATGCGGCTGTGTAGGACACATTTCACATGTTGTTCACAAGGGTGTCTCTTCCATGTTGATGTGCTGAATCGATGAATGCCATTTGTTTTGGTCAAATACACATCCAAGTATAATTTTCTTCCCCAACTTTGAAAATGCTTGCAAAATCTACCTTTTTTTCCACTTTGAAAAGGTCTTGTACAGATCTGTGAAAACTGAAACTACTGATTCAGAAATTTAGTTAAGTCAGTAGATAGGAGTTCGGAAGTCTCAATTTCAACTAGATATTTACATAGATAAGGAAGTTCTATCTAAAAAGAAGTATTAATTTAGGAATGCACACTGTTATTCAATTCCCACTTGCTTAGCACCAAGAAATTATAGACTGATGTCTTTAGTGTGATTTCTAAAGAGCAACCACTTAGACCAAGAAAGAGATTTTCCAGTCCACATCTTCTTAACTAACATAAAGTTGGTACTATGCACGTTATTGCCAAGAAATGGTTGGATCAATCAATGCTTGACAACACCTTGTTATCCGATTGTATCCTCTATCAGCCTACTCCTTGTTGGGTTCATAAAATTTGTCAATTTGTTTCTCATTTTCTTTTTAGGACTAAAAGAATGCCTGCACATAAACTTGTCATTTATATCCCGCTGCCTATTTGTATAATCTTTCATCTTTCGTCCATTGGCTTACGTTTAGTATTGTAGGACCTTATGTTTTCCAGCAAAAAGCCTACATATAATTCTACAATATTGGTATTTGGTTGACCATTTAGAAAACAAGGCCACCTGATCTGACGATGCCCTTATGGGTTATGTCCTAAGAGGACCCAGCAAATGATTCTTGGTTACTCATTGAGGATTCAAGCAACCACAGAACTTTATCACACAGCTTGTCTTCTATATATGCACACTTACATTTGCGTCAGATATGACTCAAATCTTCAAAATCTTTAGTTTTCATAAGCCACAGCACATCTTAGGTTTGGTTCTTGATACATTGAACAAAGAGATCAACATAATGGATCTTCATTTGTCCAGTGTTATCCTTTTCAAGCAGAGTTTACACAAGTGTGTTATTGCCGCAAACAAAGGATCCTCAGCATCTGCAGATGTTCCAAAAGGTTTCCTGCAGTTTATGCTGGGGAAACCCAGAAGAAGAGTTTATTGTTCCCGTTTCATATTTTGAACCAATCTTCATTTCAAGCTTTTCTGAGTGAAGCTGAAGAGGAGTTTGGTTTTGATCATCCGATGGGTGGTCTCACAATTCCCTGCAGAGAAGACACTTTCATCCATGTCACTTCTGGATTAGGCAGATCGAGAATAAGGAACTAAATTACTTGGATAAAACAATTTTTTGTAATGAAGGAAAGGTCTTTTCTTGGTATGCCAAAATTAGACCATATTAGTTATGGTTGCATCCTCGGAGGCTGAAGAAATTGTTTGGAGGATTGATCAGGCTGAAAAATGCTTCAGCCTCAACCGTCAAACAGGCAGCCCGAGAAATGCCATGTGAAGAAGGAATACATTGCTAGAGCGAAGGACATCAGCTCTTTAGCAACACTCATCCAATACCTTCCTGATCAACTATGGACATCTGAAATTCAAGGCGTCTATGTCCATTGATTGTAACTTTGTTCATTTTTTCTCTGTAATAGAAGAAAGAAGCAAAATTTTATCCAATCAAATGTTTCAGAAAGCTCAGTCTTCTGACTGTTCTGGTTCTCTCTGTTTGGGGCCAAATCAAGGAGTCCCCATGGCTCTTAAAATGATTTTCCTTTTTTCCCATCTCTATAATAGTTTTTATCAATCAATAATAACACACCAGGCCTTCAATCACCAACCTTTCATAAAGCTCTCTCTTTTACATACTAAATTTACTGTGGAATACCAAAACTATGGAACTTTGTTTTGTTGATTGAATGCGGACACATAATAGGTAACAGTTTGTCTGTGTTAAAATGGCTTCTTCCCTGAAGGTCTATCCACATTATTGACCACATATACAGAAACCTTATTACATGAAGGTTCTGATAATGCATTATCAGAGAAGAAGCGAAGCAAATATTTTGCACCTGTCCTTCAATTTTGAGGTGACTGGTCATGATTTTTATTAATTATTCAGTAAAAATTTCATTGTCACCATAAGGGGTAAGATTCGGGATTGAGTGTATCGCAGGAGCATATGCATGCTCTTCAAGAGGCTCTGTCTTGCAGGTTCATGTACTGAATGAATGCCAATGGTTTTGGTTGACCTGCAACTTTTAACTAGAAATTTCTTCCAAATTTAGACAATGCTCCCAAATGTCTTCTGGTTTCTATTTTTTTTTTCACTTTGAAAATGTCATTCTTCAGATCTCAAAAACTGAACTATGCTAGCCAATAAATATTTGCAGAGTGACAATAAAGTCTTACGATCCTTCAACTTGAATTCAACTGACTCAAAATATGTCAAGTTAGAAAGGCTCTATCCAGAAGATACATAATTTAGGTGTTATCATTCTAATCATACCTACTTGTCACCAAGAAATGATAGAGTGATGTCTCAAGTATGTCTTTGGAGGAGCACCCAATTGAAGTTGATTCTCTCTAACCTCAAATGGGTCCCTTGCAGTTGAGGCTTTAATTAGCTCAAGTGGGACAAAGCCATGTTCTCCTTCAGCTGCAGGTGTCCCTAAGCAGAACCCACCAAAATGCCTCTTCACCACTCATTCAACAATTTGAAAGATTTTAGCTAAGGCCCTCTCATCTATATAACAATATGCTTATTACTTCACAACCCAACCAGTCTCTAGCTGATAGCAGATCTTTGCTTTCCTCTTCAATCCACTTGCGATCTTGATCATTTTTTTATTTCGAAAGTAACAGTAAAAGTTGTTATGGCTATGCGTCTTGCCAAAAATGTGTTTTGCCAGTCAAAGTTGTTCAGAAATCAATCAGCTTCTATGTCAAGAGATGTTCCAAAAGGTTATTTTACAGTTTATGTTGGGGAGAGCCAGAAGAAAAGGTTTGTAATCCCAATATCATTCTTGACGCAGCCTTCTTTTCAAGAATTGCTCTGTCAGGCTGAGGAAGAATTTGGGTTCAATCATCCAATGGGAGGTCTCACAATCCCTTGCAGAGAAGACTTCTTCGTTCAACTGACTTCTTGCTTGAATAGATAAGAAACAACGCTACAAAGTTAGCCAACAATCATAGTTTCTTACAGCATTGCCCTGTTGTAAAAAATGTGACTGGATAGAGAATGTCTATCCATGAGAGGAAATCTCTAACAAAAATTTTACTAGTTTTTGTTACATTGGCTATCAAGTGTAAAGCTGAGAAACACCATCAATGGATATTTTTGTTTGTTATCCAGGAAAATTTTAGTTCTTTTCCTTTCCTGTCATTCAATTGACATATTCCAAAATCAAGACAAAAATGTTCTTGAATTTTTTTTATCTATTATCTTCTTTTGTGAGTTCCAATTCGCTCTATTGGGTATCATTTAGCATCCCTAATAATATGGTTGGTATTTATAATAATCCAGCTAACTGGAATTTGTGAAGGAGTCATAACAAGGGAAAGACTTCCACATTTCATAATTCAGTGGCTGTTAAAGAAACATGTAATACTAGTCAAATTTCTATACGTTCCTAACAAGTGACAACTTCAGACTTCAGTTTTGTGATTAGCAACAGTAATAGCAGTTTTAGTACATGAATCTTTTCTAGCATAGAATAACTCCTTAGTTTATAAAACTATATGAATGAAGAAGATCAATTTCTTGGCATTCTATCTTAAGTTGTCCTAGTCATCGATAATCAAGTGGAAATCATGACTTGCATTGGCTTCTTGAAATTGATTTTGGTAAGTCCAGTGGCTAGCTGATTATTGTCTTGTGGTTGAAATATAGGTGGCTGCTAGTAATTGGTGGATTGGGGTGAGTTTTTTGATAAATTGAGAAACCTGGGATAGTTCTGTAGATAGTTACATTAACAATTGATGTAGTAGGTTGTCCTGGTTTGGGGTTAGTGATGACTGGAATAGGGTGATAAGGGGATTACATAAAACGTATAGCTGCTGGTCATTTTAAGCAGATTGAGAGTTGGGATGGTTGGCTTCTTACAGGGGACTTCTTTTAGTTGCATAGTCCTGATGTTGATGTAAATTTATACATATTTTCTAAAGAGGTTGCATAAGGGGGATAATTAAGAATGTTATTATTCAATCCTACCGGCTTTAATGCCAAGAATAGTCCCAGAAATAGATTTTCTAAAGAGCAACCAGTTAGACCAAGAAACAAATTTCCCAGTCGGCATCTTCTTAAGATGATGAAGTGGGTCCTTAGCAGGTTATCGCCAAGAAATGGTTGACTTCCTGCAGGTTATTATTATCCAATTATCTTATCCATCAACCTACTTCGTATTGGGATCATGTCTTAAAATTTATTTTTCATTTTCTATAATAATGAGATGTCTACAATTATGTCCTACATCAAAGGCACATAAACATGTCATTTATTTCAGCAATATGATCCAACTGCCAATTTTTATAATCTTTCACCTTTTATCCATTGGCTTACACACAATACTGTAGGACCCTATGTTTTCAATCAGAAAGCCTAGACGTGATTCTTCAATTTCATTATGCAGTTGATCATTTAGAAAACAAGACCATGTGATATAGTGATACCCCTATGGGTTATGCCCTTAGAGGACCCAGCCAGTGGTTCAAGCAACCAGAGGATTTTACCACATAGCATCTCATCTATATATACCCACTCACTTTTGGATCATACTCAACTCAAATCTTCACAATTTCTAGGTTTTCTAAACTCATAAAACATCTGAGATCATATTGTTAACCCTCTTTTTGAGTACTATATTCAGCAAAATATTAACATAATGGGTGTTCGTTTGCGTGGTGCCATTCTCGCCAAGCAAATTTTCTGCAAATCTGTTTCAGCCACAAATAAAAGAGCCTCAGTGTCTGCAGATGTTCCAAAAGGTTTCCTTGCAGTATATGTTGGGGAATCCCAGAAGAAGAGATTCATGGTTCCTGTATCATATTTGGACCAACCTTCATTTCAAGCTTTGCTAAGTAAAGCTGAAGAGGAGTTTGGTTTTGATCATCCAATGGGTGGTCTCACAATTCCCTGCAGGGAAGACACTTTCTTCCATGTTACTTCTGGACTTCACAAATCATAAGATAAGGCTCCTCAATTACATAGCTAGAAACAATTTTGCGGGGCAGAAAACAACCTTCTGCTTGAGAGTTGAGAATGAAAAATTAGAAACTACTAACTCTTGTTGCATGTTCAAAGGCAGAAGCATTTAACTTCAAGGATCAATCAAGCTGAAAAATGTTTCTACTTCACTCTTTAAATGCACAACCTGACAATTCCATGCACAGAAGTTAAGAAAAAGCCCTTTTGGATCTCTGTTGCAGGATTCAGTCAAGAAAGGAGTGTCAGAAGTAAAGATGAGGTCTTCAACAATGCTAATTGAAAAACCTTCCTAGTTAATCAAGGACTATGTCTTAAGTCCAAGGACTTGATGTCCATTGATTGTAATTTCGTTCATTTTTCTCTGAAGCAAAAGAAAGGATTCAAATTTTCTCTAATCAGATATTCTGAAAGCTCGTTTATCATAAAGATCTCATCCTCTCTATTTGCACAAGCACCTGACACCATAAACTTGCAGGCTAAGAGAACTAGAAATCTTGTTTTAGTTGATAGATAAAGTAACCATGATTACTAAGACCAGCAAAAGCATATGCCGATCTGAAACTACCTTCTTGTTTGCTTTCTTACAGAAGAGTGTTTTATCAGTCGATAGTAACTCATAGTTCTTGGATTTTCCAATCTTTCATAACATTTTCTTTGAGTTGCCAATTTTATAACACAATTCAGAAACTATCTATTTTGTAGTAGGTAAAAAAATTCTATTATTCAGTCTTCTTTCCTGAAGGTCTGACAACATTATTGACCTCATAGGCCTTTTATATTGTGAATGTTAATTTCTTACTTTGATATTGTTTGTCAGAGAAGAAACTTTGGGGCAAAGGTTTTCAATTTGTGTTGGCTGCCAATTAGTCTCCTTTCCTTTGTTTGCTCTATTTGGTTGCTCTTAGTGAACATTTCATTGTCTAAGAATGGCAATCATGATTGATCAGCATAGAGTTCTCAATAATTTTTCGTTAGACTCTCCCTTGGATCCTTCTTTGGATGCTTTCCTCCCCCTGCTTAAGAAGATTTGTGCACAGATATGGAGGCAGGCAGTTCTTCACTATATATGCAGACAGCATCAGTAAATCCAGCCCATTTTTACTGTAACAAAAATTTTGAATTTTTATAATCTGAAACTTCAGCTTCGGTCTTGATAGGGACTACTAGTACTAATAGGACACACTTCACATGCATATCATAAGGACTTGTCTTGCAAGTTAAGGCACCAAAGCAACAAATAGTAATTGCCCGTGACTCTTTTCCCAGACAACAAAAAGCTGGTGAAAGTGAGCATTCCAGCTCAATGATGTTTATTTATATTAACGGGCTTCATTGACTGGGAAGAAAATTTCTTGTCCCTGCATGGTCTCAATCATTTATGGTTTCCATCTGATAAAGCAAGAGCAGTTTCTCTGGCTGAGCCTTGTAATAATTTCAGATGGCTCTATTGTAGATTTGTCTTCTGGAAATGGTGGGACAACAATGTGTTCCACCAAATCTACAAGTTCAATCACCACTAAGTTTTTGATATCAGCTTGGCAACAGCACCATGTGATCCATCAGGTGACCAGGTCTCTTACCCCTCTTCCTAGCCAAGTGCCTATTCTCCAATCACTTTATATTTCAACAATCTTTCTATGATCTATACAAACATATATATATATATTTGGCATTTCTCATCGCATATCAACCAAATCAAAAAGTTATCTCTTGTCTCTGAAATCATTGAAATCTTGACCATCTTCTTTAAAGTGATTTAACATAAGAAGAATCACAGTTCGTTTTCCTCAAGTCTTGTATTCAAGGCAGATTGTCCACAGACCAAATTCATCTGTGAATCAATCAATTCCCTCAGATTTTCCAAAAATTTTTGTTTATGCTGGAGACAGCCAGAAGAAGATATTTGTAATTCCAAAATTATTCTTGCATCAGCCTTCACTTCAAGAATTATTACAATGCAGAGGAAGAATTTGGCTACAATCATCCAATGGGCTGTCTCACTTCCTTGCGTAGAAGATATCTTTGTTGACCTCACTGCTCACTTGAACAGATTCTAATGGACAACTTCTTATCAACTGGAAGAAACAATTTTGAATTTCATATATACATAATTTTTACTCAATTTTTGTATGAGGATGTTGATGTAAATTTAGAATCCATCTGGGCAAGTTACATTTAAAAACTACTGGAGTTTTTCCCACATTTTGAGCAATTGTAAATTTGGTAGATGGTCTCATCTTTTCAGTTTACATTTCAACGTTTGAGATTACTTTTCTTCCAAGAATAACACAAAAGTTTCTTATAAATTACATTATTAATGTTCTTTATTTAAATTTCAGAAGTCTGTCTCTTGAACCCTAACAAGAAAAAAAAGTGTGAGGTCATAATCTCACATCATAAACATCTATGATTTTTGAGTGCTACATAAGGGTTCAAGTCGTTCATTACTACTGATTTAAGATTGAGCCTTTAGCAACTGGTGTTTGGACTCGAAAATTGTTGTCCAATGGTGTTTGCTTGTGGGGTATTACAAATAATATAATAGCAAGTATCGTTCGGTGACTCTGTGCTGGTGAAAATATGAACCTCGTGAACATTTGATGTAAGTTGTGATGTTGTGATTAAGATAAAAGTGACTATGATGAGTACATTAAGAAACTAAATGATGAGAATTGTGAGTCATTTATCTCAGATTACTAATAACTTGAGCTTGAGTTTTAAATAAGAGCTCAAATCAGTCGCTACTAATAACTTGAATTCAAAATTTTAAAATAAGTGGTTTGGACTATAGAATTTATTGGCCTAATGGTACTTAGATCTTTGTAATGTATCTGGCCCATTACAAGAAGAACTATCATATTTCTTCATATTTATCAACACTCTATTGCAGGAATCAGCTTGGACAGTTGTCAGATACTGTTCAAAAACTTAGAATTATCGAGATAGCAAAGTAGTCTGGCTGCTTTCAAAGCAAAATTTATTCTTTGATTTTAGACCCCTGAAATTCATAGCATTTTCATCATAGGATCATAATGTCTTTCAATATCTAACAATTAACAAGACCAATGTCCTATATTGAACTACAAAAACGGATTTAGCTTAAGTTGCTTGCCTAGATATGTCTCTCATATCATGTGTAAGCAGAGTTAGCAAAGACAATAATACTTATTTCCAGCTGTTGTGATGAAGGATGAGAAAGATTTAAATGAAAATTGGAAGATGGGAAAGTTTTAAATCGAGATTGCGGACAAAAACCATGAGAATCACATCCTGCAATGTTTATTACATAGCTTCTTCACACCAAGGAATCCTTTATATGTGATGCAAAATGGATATTGTTCTACCTATTTTGCTTTAAGTTGTCCAGTTATGTCTTATTCGATTGTTGCTAGTCTCATGTTAACATCAAAAACATCTGAGCTTTTGATGATGTTCTCCATCTATTTCTCTCTGTGCAGATCCGTATCATGGATGTTTCCATAATTGGTCAATCCAATTCTCATAAGATGACATATATTGGACCCGCTGTCTTGAACATGGTACCAAGCAAAGGGTCGCTCAACTTTTCAACCATATCAACACTAGTAGATTGGTAGGGCACATGGTTCGTGAATGTGCATCCAAATTCAAATATTTGTTGATTAGATGGAAAACAAAGCCATGTGAAACCTCATGAGCTATGTACCCAACCAGACCCCAGCAAGTGATACTTGACCATTCAATCTCAAATTGTCATTCAATTTTCCACTTTCCTGCTTTTATAAATAGTAAACACTTTTGGGGTCTGAGCAACTCAGGTGTTCGCGTCCAATTCTCTACCACTCTTAAGCTTACAGCTTTCTTGTTAAACAATTTCAGGTCCTCAAAGCTCTTCACAGTTCTTTTCCTTTACTTAGAAAAAGAAGTTTACATGGCTATTTCGCACGTTACTATTTTTACGAAACAAATTCTTCGATACTCAATTAGGGCTGCAAATAAAGCAGCTTCAACATCCATGGATGTACCGAAAGGCTTTCTTGCTGTCTATGTTGGAGAGAGCCAAAAGAAGAGATTTCTGGTTCCAGTTTCCTATTTAAGGAACCCTTCATTTCAGGCTTTGCTTAGTAAAGCTGAAGAAGAGTTTGGCTTTGATCATCCAATGGGTGGTTTGACAATTCCCTGTAACGAAGAAACTTTCTTCAACATCACCTCTCATTTGAGAAGATCATGAACGAATGCATTTAGATTTCTCAGAGAATAGATTTTCATAGCTGATTGTAAAGTTTTAGGCTCTATAGAATCATACTTAATTCATAAACAGGCTTTTTTCTTATGTATCCCCTCTAATTTTGTTCTGACCGATCACATGTAATTCATATGTAGATTCTCTTTGAACATGTATGATACATACGAGTTCCATCTTATCAAGTAAACATTCCAAATCCAGATATTCTAGCAAGTCTCTTCCTCAAACTAATACATGCTAAATCCCTTGAACTTTTCTTATCTTCAACTAAATTGTTCCATAAAGCAAAAAGATTTTGAGATTTTGACCTTCATATTTGCACTTGAGTTTCCATTAATTCCAAATGTGTTTTTGTACTTGTATATTAAGAATAATGTATATTGACACACACATTAAATTCATGCAATTTACTCTACATGATGACTGTATTCTTATATCTACTTAAGTTACTGGAGTCTTCATCATTTGGCAACAAAAAAAATACTTCTTCATATCCACCATTCAAAAAATTACCAACGGTTTCTCTTTTGCAATCTATTATTGGATCTGATAATCTGAAGGAAAATCCAGCTTGTGTCTTGAGTACTTGTAGGACACACTTCATATGCATATCACAAGGACCAGCCTTGCAAATTAATGCACCAAAGCAACAAATTGAATATTGCCAATGACTTTTTTCCAAGCCAACAAATGATGGCGATGACTTGTCGGTTAAACACATAAAAATAAATGAAGTTCACTGCATACCTTTGTCCTTTCTGGTAATCTGAAAGTTTAAGCTTTATTTATTAGATTCTAACCCAACACCATATTGTAATAGGTAGAATTGCTTAATAAATATACAAGTCACTGTAAACTTTCATACTTGATCGATCTGAAATTGATGTTCCTAATAACTCCTTCATGTAGAGATTGTACACAAGTAGGAGAGAGCCAAATTATGAGATAGAGAATAGAATAACTCTAAGTGAAAACAAACTTCAATATGCTTCAAGAATGTCTCTGATCATTTGTGGTTTCTATATATTAAAATTAGAGGAGTGTCCTCTTTCCAGGTCTCTTAGTTCTCAAGTGGGTCCAATTGTAGGTTTCTCTGTTGAAAATGGCTGGCCACATTGTGTTCTACCAAGTCTACAAGCTCACTCACCACCAAGTTTTTAACACAATCAAGCCTGGAAACAGGACCATGTGATTCTTCAGGTGACCATGTCTCTTACCATCCACACAAATTCCTCTTCCTCACCACTCACTACACGTTTCAATGATTTAGGCATGATCTATGTGTTCATATATATATATATATATATATATATATATATATATATATATATATATATATATTAGAGATTTATCACCTCTAAATCAACCAACTCAAGTGCAAAAATTCTCTACTAGCTAGAAAAATTTTTCCTCCCCTCTCTCAAACCATTGAAGTCTTGAACATCTTTTTCCGGAGTGGCTAATTAACAATGCCTGTTCATTTTCCTCGCCTCTTGTATTCTAAGCAGATGCTCTGGAAATCAAATTCATTTGGAAATCAACCAACTTCGTCAGATGTTCCCAAAGGCTCTATTGCAGTCTATGTTGGTGATCAGGAGCAAAAGAAGCGGTTCTTAATTCCAATATCATCCTTGCATCAGCCTTCATTTCAAGAGTTGCTATGCATGGCGGAGGAAGAATTTGGCTACAATCACCTGATGGGAGGTCTGACACTTCCCTGCATGGAAGACATCTTCGTTGACCTCACTACCCGCTTGAATAGATTTGACATTTTTTTTAATTTCTGTAGAAAGAGGATGTTGATGTGAAAACTTCATGCCTACAGAGAGAGTTGCCGATGGTAACTACTGTAGTATTTGCCACAATTTTGATCAATTATAAACTTTGTAGATTAGATCAGTTAATCATATCTTCTCAGTCTATACTTCATAATCTTTCTTCGTACATTGAACATAATGACAGAATACATGTTTAAATTCTTCTTACACTTGTCTTTGTAAAAAGCTTGTAGACTCCTAAACCATGTGGACCTGTACTTGTATATGTACATGTTTACTCGATGAAAATATATAGCTGAGTGAATTTAATTTATTCCAGAAGTTTACATGGTGTCAGAAATCGATTTTGGCTTTTTCTCTAAAACTGATATGTGAAATCTTTTTCTTGTTCTCTTATTGATAGTCTAGTTCTTCCTTATCTCTCAGAAATTCTCATTTCCAATTCAGTGTGTCTAAGGTTGTAAAGTTATGCTAGTGAAACCTAAGATTCACCAGTTTCTTAATTGGGAAATCTCTCATCCTACCTGTTTTAAAAAGTTGGGAGTATTGGGAACCATGTAGGTTGTTATATTGTCTGTCTATCTCTCACAACTACAGATGATCCAAATCTTGTCTCATCGAAATCAAGATGCCCTATTATGACAGCAGCTCGACTCACTTGTTTTCTCTTAAATCCAAGCATCACTTTTTCCATAAATCCTTGGCAGCCTACTCAAACTCAACTAAACACTCACTCCAGACAGGCATGGAAAAAAAATTGAAAAACTCTTCTGTAACCAGGCTCATGCTCGCTATTGCACATCAAATCTGAATTCTAGGATACCTGAAAAATGACTTCCCCATTGTAGCGAGTGGAACTGTGAGACCTTAATCTCATATCCTAAAGATGTGATTATTGAGCATATGATAAGGACTCAAACCACTCCTACTAGCTTGAGACTGAGTTTTCAAGAGTATGTAGTTTGGGTTAAACATTTTATGAGATTAGTTGTTCTTAGACCAGAGTCGTTACAAGGAGAATCATCACTTTTCTTGGTATTTATCAACATTATACTGTAGCAAGCAGCTTGGACAATGATCAAATGATTTAGACAGCTCAAAAACTTCGAATTATCCAGAGAACAAAAGAGTATAAAGAGATTCAATTTCAGGCACCTGAGAGCCATTAAGTTTCCCGATAAAATCAAAATTGCAGAGCTGGACTAGGAGTTAAATGGACCAAAGTGAAGTTCATGATTTACAAATCTTCTAACAAAAGATAGCAACATAGATCAGAATTTCTTCTACCAACAAATAATTAACAGGCATATGTCATATATCGAAGAATGAACAAGGATCATAAATTTGGTTTTTTTTTTTTTTTTTTTTTGGGTGGGGAGGGGAAGGGGGGGAAGGGATGGACAAGTCAATACATTTAGCATAAGTTGCTGCTTCAGACATGTTTCTCATACTTTGCAATAGTCACATTCAACAGAGGATAAAGCTAAAGTACAATTCGAGTGAAGAAGAACAAGAAAGGTTTAAATGGAGATGACAAACAAAAATCACAGAATATTTATAAAATTGACGTAGCTTCTTTTATACCAAGGAATCCCTTATATGTGATGCAAAATGGACATTTTTCTACCTATAGTGCTCTGAAATGTCTAATTATGTCTGCTAAAAATCTGATGTATTCACTATGTCCATTTTAACTTTGTTTATCTTATATTAACCTGGAAACCATCAGTTCACATGAGCTTTCAATGCTTTTCTCCTTCTATTTCTCCCTACAAAGACTGGCTTCACAGAAATTTCTATAGTTATTTTGTCAATCTAATTGTTGTAAAATAATATATACATTGGACTTGTTGTCTCAGACATGTCACCAAGCAAAGGATTGCTCCACCTTTTCACCTGTACGAACACTAATCTACTGAAATGATCTTTAGTTGGATTACCAGTTGTTAGATTAGAAACTAGTAGGGCACATTGTTTATGAAGTTGCAGTAAAATTCAAATCCTTGTTGATCAATTGGAAAACAGAACCATGTGAAGACCTCATGAGCTATGTCCCCCAGACAGACCCCAGCATATGACACTTGACCATTCACCCCTAAACTATTATTCAATTTGCAATTTCCTGCCTTTATAAATATATTAGCAGCTTTGTGTGTCAAAGCAACTCTTGTTTTCACTTCCAATTCTCTATCAGCCTTAAGCTTATAGCTTTTGTCAAACAAATTCAAGTCTTCGAAGCCCTTCACAATTCTTTTCCTTGACTTGAAACCATGGCTATTTTGCATGCTGCTATCCTCACCAAACAATTTCTTCGCCGCTCAGTTACATTTGCTTATAAAGAAGCTTCGATATCCATAGATGTACCAAAAGGCTTTCTTGCTGTCTATGTTGGAGAGAGCCAAAAGAAGAGATTTTTGGTTCCAGTCTCATATTTAAGGCGACCTTCATTTCAGGCTTTGCTTAGTAAAGCCGAGACGAGTTTGGTTTTGATCATCCAATGGGCGGATTGACATTTCCCTGCAGTGAAGAAACTTTCTTCGATGTCACTTCTCAATAGAAAAGATCTTGAAAGAAGCCATTCAGATTTTTCAAAGAAGGAATGTTTCACAAAAACAGTGCACCAAAAGCCCTTTGGCTGTGGATATGAGGAAAACTGAAGATAACTATTCATGATTTCATACTCATACTTCAGAAGCTGCCATATCATGCTGAAGAAAAAACTGATCCACACGGATGCCCTGAGCAATTCCTTGCAGCCAAATCTTGCAGTCATTTTACCACTGCAGAATATATGAAGAGGCCAAAAATGTTCCATTACTAGAGTAGAGAAATCTAATCTGTACAAGCAGTATTGACAGAATAGAATACCATATTCTTATGGCTTATTGTAAAGCTTTGAACTCTGCAGAAACTAATTTATATGAATTCATAATAAGGATTTTTTTATATATTCCCTCGAATTTTATTGAGTTGTATCTCAGAAACTAAACATTCCAATCCTAGATTGTTAGTTGACTATGTTAGCTATTCAAGTCTAAAAAAATGCAGATATTGAAGTGAGGATCACCTTCAAAACTGATGCAATCTAAACCCTTTTAACTTTTTTTGCCGTTCACCTCCTTCTTTTTATGGAGAAGCATAAAATTTTTTGAGATGTTTTAATTTTATATTCGCACTTGCATTTCCATTTTCAAATGTGTTTCTCTACCTGTGTATTAAGAAGAATATATATATACTCATTGAAGGCTTGCAGTTTACTGTACATGAGAATGCATTTGCAAATCCAGTCATGATATTTACTGGAGCCTTCAAAAAACTACCATTACCAAAGTCCTCGCAGTTTGTTAAGAAAGTAGAAAACTGGGGCATTCACATCTACCATTCAAGTTTGACATATCTACCAATATTTTTTTCCAAATCTATTTTTGGATCTCAGAATCTGTAAGAAACTGCAGCTTGTGTCTTGACAGGGACCACTAGCACTAGTGGGACACACTTCACATGCTTATCACAAGGACCTCTCTTGCAAATTAATGCAACAAATATTTCCAGAAACCTCTTCTCCAAAATCAACAAATACTGGTGATAACTTTTGTGTTAAAGATACGAAAAACATAAATGCAGTTCATTACATGCCCCCAGCTCTTTCTGGTAAAAAAAATCTTTAAGCTTTATTTATTAGATTCTAACCAAACGCCATATTGCAATGGGTAGAGTGGAATAGATATGGAAGTCATCATAGGATTTCATACTCGATTGATCTGAAATTAACATCCCTAATACCCCTAATGCAGAGCCTGTACATGAGCAAGAAAGAGTCAAACTATATACAGGTAATAGAATTGGCTCCGATTGTAAACAAAGTTTGATATGTTTCAAGAATGTCTACAATCATTTGTGGCTTCTATCTATTAAAACTAAAGCAGTTTCCTCTTGCCAAGTCTCTTTGTTCTCAAGTGGGTCCAGTTGTAGGTTTCTCTCTTAGAAATGGCTGGCCACTATGCGTTCCACCAAATCTACAAGCTCACTGACCATCAAGTTCTTAATATAATTGAGTACAGAAGCAGGACCATGTGATCATGTCTCTTAGCATATCGAACTAAATGCATATTCTTCACCACTCACCACACATTCAAAGATTTAGACATGATCTATATATATATATATATATATAGGCTTTTATCATCTCCAAAATCAACCAACTCAAGTTCAAAAATTCTCTACCAGTTAGACAATTTTCCTCTCTTCCCTCAAGCCATTGAAACTTTTCTCAAAGTGACTAATCAACAATGACCGTTCATTTTCCTCGTCCATTGTATTCCAAGCAGATTCTCCACCGATCAAATTCGTTTCGAGATCAACCAACTCCCTCGGATGTTCCAAAAGGCCATATTGCAGTCTATGTTGGGGATCAAAAGAAGAGATTCATAATTCCAATATCATTTTTGCATCAGCCTTCATTTCAAGAGTTGCTATGTATGGCAGAGGAAGAATTCGGCTACAATCATCCAATGCGTGGTCTAACACTTCCCTGCACGGAAGACATCTTCGTTGACCTCACTGCCCGCTTGAACAGATTGTGATATACAGAACTTCTGATCAATTAGAAGTTACAATTTTTTTCTTTATTTTAACTTTTGTAGAAAGGAGATGTTGATGTGAAAGCTTTATGCCCGTAGAGAGAGTTGCTAGTGGTAACTCCAGCAGTATTTGCCACAATTTTGATCAATTGTAAACTTGGTAGACTAGATCAGTTAATCATATCTTTTTCAGTCTATACTTCCAATTATCTTTCCTTTTACATTGAACACAATAACAGAATACATATTTGAATTCCTCTTACAAATTCTTTTTATATACATGTTTACCAGTTGAAATAGACACTTGAGTGTATTTATTTCAAAATTTTATATGAAAATAGACACGTGAATGGATTTACTGCAAAAATTTACATGGTAACAGAACTGGATCCTGGCTTTTTCCTAAGAATGAGTCTTGGTGCAGAATCTCCTTCTTGTTCGCTTATTTGAAGCTAGTCTACTTCTTCCTTATCTCCCAGAAATTCTCATCCCCATTCATTGTGTTTAAGATTAAAAATAGTATTAGTGAAACCTTTAACTTCACCAATTTCTTAATTTGGAAATATGTCATCTTATCTGTATACAAAATTTATGATGTTGTTAACCATATAGGTGGTTCTAGTGCCTGATCTCTCACAACTACAGAAACTTGGATCGAAATCCGAATGCCCTCTTATAGAAGCAGCTCGATTCACCTGCTCTCTCCAGAAATTTTGTGCAGCCTACTCAAACCCAACTAGACACTCACTTCCAGACGAGCATGTTAACATCATATCAGAATTTTTCTGATATGAAATAATTAACGGGGTGAATGTCATATATTGAAATATGAACAAGGATCATACTTTTTTATATTTATTTAGACGGATGAATTGATACATTTAGCATAAGTTGCTTCTTCAGACATGTTGATCATACCATACAATAGGCACATTCAACGGAGATGACAAAGCCAAAGTCCAATTTAATTGAAGAAGCACACGAAAGGTTTAAATGCAGATGGTAAACAAAAATCAAAGAATGTTTATAAAATTGATATAGCTTCTTTTACGACAAGGAATCCCTTACACGTGATGCAAAATGGATATTTTTCTACCTATATTGCTTTAAGTTTCCCAGTTGCGTCTTCGAAAATCTGATATGTTTACCATGTCCTTTGTACTTTTGCTTGTCTCATGTTAACCTCAAAAACATCTTGGGCTTTTAATGCTTTTCTCCTTCTATTTCTCCCTATGCAGATTAGCTTCACAGAAATTTTCATAGTTTATTTTGCCAATCCAGTTGTTGCAAAATAATATATACATTGGGCTTCTTGTCTCAGACATGTCACCAAGCAAAGGGTTGCTCCACCTTTCACCTATATAAACACTAATCCACTTAAATGAGCTTTAGTTGGATGGGCAGTTGTCAGATTAGAGACCAGGTAGGGCACATTGTTTAAGAAGTTGCACTAAAATTCAAATCCTTGCTGATTAGTTGGAAAACAGAACCATGTGTAAACCTCATTAGTTATGTCCCCAGAAAGACCCCATGCAGATGACACTTGAGAATTCAACCCAAACTATCATTCAATTTGCCATTTCCTGCCTTTATAAATCTATTTGCAATTTTCAACTCAAAGCAACCTGGTCTTTCACTTCCAACTCTCATCCACTCTAAGCTTATAGCTTTTGTCAAACAAATTCAAGTCTTCGAAGCCCTTCACAATTTTTTTCCTTGACTCAAAAGTAGAAACCATGGCTATTTTGCGTGCTGCTATCCTCGCCAAACAAATTCTTCGCCACTCAGTTACATTTTCTTATAAAGAAGCTTCGACGTCCACAGATGTACCAAAAGGCTTTCTTGCTGTCTACGTTGGAGAGAGCCAAAAGAAGAGATTTTTGGTTCCAGTCTCATATTTAAGGCAACCTTCCTTTCAGGCTTTGCTTAGTAAAGCTGAAGACGAGTTTGGTTTTGATCATCCAATGGGCGGATTGACAATTCCCTGCAGTGAAGAAACTTTCTTGGACGTCACCTCACAATTGAAAAGATTATGAAAGAAGCCATTCAGATTTCTCAGAGAAGGACTGTTTCACAAAAACAGTGCATCAAAAGTCCTTTGGCTGTGTATATGGGAAAAAATGAAGACGGCTATTCATGATTTCATGTTCATACTTCAAGGGTCCACTTCAGAAGCTACCATATCAAGCTGAAGAAAAAAAGGATCCACACGGATGCCCTGAGCAATTCCTTGTAGCCGAATCTTGCAGTCATCTCGCCTGCAGAATATATGAAGAGGCCAAAAATGGCCCATTACTAGACCAGAGAAATCAAATCTGTACAAACAGTATTGACAGAATAGAATACCAGTCTTATGGCTTACTGTAAAGCTTTGAACTCTGTAGAAACTGATTTATACGAAATTCATAATAAGGATTTTTTATATATTCCCTTGAATTTTATTGAGTTGTATCTCAGAAACTAAACATTGCAATCCTTGATTATTTGTTAACTATGTCAGCTATCAAGTCTAAGAAAATGCAGATATTAAAGTGAGGATCACCTTCAAAACTGATGCACCCTAAACCCTTTAACTTTTTTTGCCCTTCACCTCATTCTCTTTACAGAGAAGCATAAAAGACTTTGTGTTGTTTTAATTTTACATTTGCCCTTGCATTTCCATTTTCAAATGTGTTTCTCTACCTGCATATTAAGAACAATGTATATATACTCATTGAAGGCATGCAGTTTACTGTGCACGAAGAACGTATTTGCAAATCCAGTCATGATATTTACTGGAGCCTTCAAAGAACTACCATTACCAAAATCCTCATTTTTTGTTAAGAAAGAAGAAAACTGGGGCCTTCACATCTACCATTCAAGTTTGACATATCTACCAATAATTTTTTCTAAATCTATTTTTGGATCTGAGAATCTGAAAGAAACTGCAGCTTGTCTTGATATGGACCACTAGTACTAGTGGGACACACTTCACATGCATATCACAAGGACCTGCCTTGCGAATTAATGCAAGAAATATTGCCAGCAACCTTCTCTCCAAAACCAACAAATGCTGGTGATAACTTTTGTGTTAAAGACATGAAAAATGTAAATGCAGTTTATTACATTCCTCAAGCTCTTTCTGGTAAAATGGACATTTAAGCTTTATTTATTAGATTTTAACCCAAGACCATAATAGGTAGAGCGGCTTAATAGATAGACAAGTCATTATAAGTTTTCATACTGGATCTATTTGAAATTAACATCCACACAGAGACTGTACATGAGCAAAGACAAAGCCAAAGACAAGGAATAGAATTGGATCTGAGTAGAAATAAATTTCAATATGTTTCAGGAATGTCTCCAATCATTTAAGGTTTCAATCTGTTAAAATTAAAGCAGTTTCCTCTTGCCAAGTCTTTTGTTCTCAAGTGGGTCCAGTTGTAGGTTTCTCTGTTAGAAATGGCTGGTCACTATGTGTTCCACCAAATCTACAAGCTTACTCGCCACCATGCTCTTAATCTAATTAAGTAAGGAAACAGGACCATGTGATCCTTCAGGTGATCATGTCTCAGCATATCCACCCATATGCCTCTTCTTCACCACTCACCACATATTCAAAGATTTTGACATGACCTACATATATATATATATATATATATATAGGCTTTGATCATCTCCACAATCAAGCAACTCAAGTTCAAAGATTCTCTACTAGCTAGCAGAATTTTCCTCTCCTCTCTCAAGCCATTGAAATACTAATTATCTTTTTTCAAAGTGACAAATTAATAATGGCTATTCGTTTTCCTCGTGTATCATATTCCAAGAAGATTCTCCGCCGATCAAATTCATTTCAAGATCAACCAACTCCCTCTGATGTTCCAAAAGGCCATATTGCAGTCTATGTTGGGGATCAGGATCAAAAGAAGAGATTTGTAATTCCAATATCCTTCTTGCATCAGCCTTCATTTCAAGAGTTGCTATGCATGGCAGAGGAGGAATTTGGCTATAATCATCCAATGGGAGGTTTAACACTTCCCTGCACAGAAGACATCTTCTTTGACCTCACTGCCCGCTTGGACAGATTGTGATATACAGAACTTCTGATCAATTAGGAGTTACAATTTTTTTTTTTTTTTAACTTTTGTAGAAAGACGATGCTGATGTGAAAGCTTTATGCCCATAGAGAGAGTTTCCAGTGGTAACTCCAGCAGTCTTTGCCACAATTTTGATCAATTGTAAATTTGGTAGATTATATCAGTTGATCATATCTTCTTCAATCTATACTTCCAATTATCTTTCTTCTAACGTTGAACACAGTAACAGAATACATGTTTGAATTCTTCTAACATTTATCTTTCTATAGACTTTGTATAGAGTCCTAAACCATGTGGACCTCTACATGTACATATACATGTTTACCAGTTGAAAACAGACACTTGAGCATATTTATTTCAAAATTTTATATGAAACTAGACACATGAATGAATTTACTGCTAAAATTTGCATGGTAACATAACTCGATTCTGGCTTTTCTCTAAAAATGAGTCTTCCCCGGAATCAACTTCTTGTTCGCTTATTGCAAGTTAGTCTATTTCTTCCTTATCTCGCAGAAATTTTCATCCCCCATCAATGTGTTTAAGATTAAAGATATTGTTAGTGAAACCCTTAACTTCAACAATTTCTTAATTTGGAAATATGTCATCTTATCTGTTTCCAAAAGTTACGATGTTGTTAACCATAGAGGTGGGTGTAGTGCCTGTCTATCTCTCACAACTACAGATGATGCAAGTCTGTCTCTTCCAACTCTGGATGTCCTCTTATGGAAGCAGCTCGATTCACCTGTTCTCTCCAGAAATTCTGTGCAGCCTACTCAAACCCAATTAGACACACACTTCAGACAAGCATGTTAACATCATATCAGAATTTCTTCTGATATCAAATAATTAACAAGGTGAATGTCATATATTGAAGTATGAACAAGGATCATACATTTGGCGTATCTATTTGGACCAACGAATTGGTATTTTTAGCAATAGTTGCTTCTTTACACATGCTGATCGTACCATACAATAGGCAGATTCAACAGAGACGACAAAGCTAAAGTCCAATTCGATTGAAGAAGGACAAGAAAGGTTTAAATGCAGATGGTGAACCAAAATGACAGAATGTTTATAAAATTGGCATAGCTTCTCTTATGCCATGGAATCCCTTACATGTGATTCAGAATGGATATTTTTCTACCTGTATTCCTTTAAGTTTCCCAATTATGTCTTCTAAAATCTGATGTGTTCACCATATCCATTGTACTTTTGCTTGTCTCATGTTAACCTCAAAAACATCAACTCACATGAGCTTTTAATGCTTTTCTCCTTCCATATTTCCCGATGCAGATTGGCTTCACACAAATTTCCATAGTTTATTTTGTCAATCTAGTTGTTGTCTCAGACATGTCACCAAGCTAAGGGTTGCTCCACTTTTCACCTGAATAAACACTAATCCATTTAAATGATCTTTAGTTGGATCCACAGTTGTCAGATTAGAAACCAGGTAGGGTACACTGTTCATGATGTTGCAGTAAAATTCAAATCCTTGTTGATTAGTTGGAAAACAGAACCTTGTGAAAACCTCATTAGTTATGTCTCCAGAAAGACCCCAACAGATGACACTTCACAATTTAATCACAAACTATCATTCAATTTCCTGCCTTTATAAATACATTTGCAATTTTGAAGTCAAAGCAACTCAGATCTTTCACTTCCAACTCTCATCCACTCTAAGCTTATAGCTTTTGTTAAACAAATTCGAGTATTCAGCACTTCACAGTTTTTTTCCTTTACTTGAAAGTAGAAACCATGGCTATTTTGCGTGCTGCTATTCTCACCAAACAAATTCTTTGCCGCTCAGTTATATTTGCAAATGAAGAAGCTTCCATATCCATAGACATACCAAAAGGATTTCTTGCTGTCTATGTTGGAGAGAACCAGAAGAAGAGATTTTTGGTTCCAGTATCCTATTTAAGGCAACCCTCACATTTCGGGCTCTACTTAGTAAAGCTGAAGAAGAGATTGGTTTTGATCATCTGATGGGCAGATTGACAATTCCCTGCAGTGAAGAAACTTTCTTCGATGTCACCTCTCTACTGAACAGATCATGAAAGAAGCTGTTCAGATTTCTCAGAGAAGAAATGTTTCACAAAAACAGTGCAGCAAAAGCCCTTTGGGTGTGTACACAAGAAAAAATGAAGACAGCTCTTCATGATTTCATGTTCATACTTCAAGGGTCCACTTCAGAAGCTGCCATATCAAGCTGAAGAAAAAACTGATCCACATGGATGCCCTGAGCAATTCCTTGCTGCCAAATCTTGCAGTCGTCTCACCGCTGAAGGATATATGAAGAGGCCAAAAATGGTCCATTACTAGACTAGAGAAACCAAAATGTACAAATAGAATTGACCGAATAGAAGTCCATGGTTTTATGGCTTATTGTAAAGCTTTGAGCTAGTAAAAACTAATTTAGAAAAAATTTATAATCAAGATTTTTTTTTTGTCTTCCCTCTAATTTTGTTGAGTTGTATCTCAGAAACTAAACATTCCAATCCTAGATTGTTACTTCAACATGTTAGCTACCAAGTCCAAGAAAATTGAGATATTCAAGTGAGAGTCAGCTCAAAAAACAACACATTGAATCCTTTCAAGTTTCCTTTGTGGAGAGGCATAAAATTTTTCAAGATGTTTTATTTTATAATCACAGTTGTTTTTCCATTTTCAAATGTCTTTCTCTACCTGCATGTTAAGAAAAATGTATATATACCCGTTGAAGGTATGCAGTTTACTGTACATGAAGACTGCATTTGCTAATCTAATAAATGATATTTATTGGAGACTTAAAAAACTACCATTATCAATCTCCTCACCTTTGGTAAAGAGAGAAGAGAACTGGGGGTCGTGGGATCTACAGTTCAATTTGACAGATCCACTAATAACTTCTTCCAAATCTGTTTTGGATCTGAGAATCTAAAAGAAAATGCAGCTTCTGTCTTGATAGGGACCACTGGTACTAGTAGGACACACTTCACGTGCATATCACAAGGACCTGCCTTGCAATTAATGAAACTAAGCAAGGAATATTTCCTGCAACCTTTTTTTCCAAAAACCAACATATGCTGGTGATAACTTTTGGGTTAAAGACATGAAAAACATAAATGAAGTTTATTACATGCCTCCAGCTCTTTCTGGT